TGCTGGCATTTAGGCCTGGTTCACACCTATGCATTTTTTATGCTTTTTGCAGAAATGCAGTACAGTCCATTTCCTGTGGGACACGTTCACATCTATGCTTTTTTTTTTTTTTTTTTTTTTTTTTTTTAACGACTGCGTTTTTGGAAAGGGTCAGATACTTTTTTTTTTTTTTTTTTTTTTAAATGCCAAACTGTGTGTTTTTTGTTCAATAGACTTTAATGGAGACACTGCAGAAAAGCACGTAGTGCGTTTTGCTTTTTTTTTTATCCTGCCCAACAACAAATTGGCCTAAAATCTGCATTAAAAAAGTGCAAAACGCATCAAAAAATGTGACAAATGCATCAAAAACACGCATGCAGAAAAAAAGCGTTAAATGCACTGCAGAAACAGATCAAAAGCAAACTACATAGGTGTGAACCAAGCCTTACACGCAGCACAACACGTCACAATATGCTGCAACATTATAAAAGATAAAACAATTTTCTATTTTGGTATAAGGATGGATTCTGACCATCTGTGTTTCATTTAAAGTGTTAATAAACCCTTGACTCTGCATTCATTATATCTAGTCTCCCACACTACACGGAACATGGAAATGGAATTATTTTAGCAAATATAAACTGCTAAACAGCACTGGTTAAAGCTTGTAGGAGAAATTTTAATTCTCCCCATATTGTCCTATGAGGCTGCATAACCCCTGACTTCTATCTGGACAGTGCTGATTGGCCCTGTGCTAATCACATGCACTCTCCCAGGGAAAAAAAAAAAACTCTCTGGCAATACACACCAAACTGAGCATGTTCAGCTTGCCCCCAAAGTTCTGTTCTATCAGCAGATGGATTGGGGACAGTAGAAGAAGGGGAGGAACAGAAACATCCTTTTTACACAATGCAGAGGATTAACCCCTTAGGTTCCACAGTGAGTATAACAAGCATGCTTTACTGCATATACAGACTGATTTTACTGTTGTGAGTTTAGTAACACTTTAATGCATATTGACATGAGGTTTTTTATTTATTTTTTTTTTACATGTTGGATTATGATCATTTCTTCTTTTTTTCTGAAGCCAAATTACATTTTTTTTCTAAATTTGGTTCTACTAAAACCTGGAGTTACAACTGTATTGTCAACCAGCTGTTATAGGTGTCCTTGTCTCTTAGTTTCCTCTACATCACCTTCTCAAATTGAAATCATTAAGCGTCCTTCATATTTGACTTTTCTGCGACCTTCAAGTCTCATCTGCTTCATTTACTTCACTAAATTGTTTCCATTTATTTTGATTAAATAAATTAAAAGTTGAATACTGAGTTCAGGAGGTAGCCATTAAAAGAATTGATGTCACGGGACTGTACGATACCTCATAATATCATTATCCCATGACAATTAAATTGGCTTGCTAATAAATAAAGCAATAAAATTCCCCGCAGAGTGACATCACTATATTGTTTTTGTCCAGTAAAGAGTAAAGCAACTGCAAGTGTTCTTTTCCTGAGTGTCAAATAAGATTACAGACATACAAAAAAATGAATAAAGTGATGGCACATCTCCTTAATGTAATCAAGTAAATGGCACTCCATTGCTTTTAAGACTAAAAGCTCAGAATTTTGAGTTCCTGCCATAGTTATGTTTTTTTTGTTTGTGTTATGTCAGCTTGCCATTCCCGATCTCCTTCTGAAAATGCTGGCTGCCTTGCTGTCGCTATAATGCTGCTTTCTGAGTCATTGCTATAACCATAATAAGTATGCATTGAGAAAAGTTGTAATAAAGTCAGCACGACAGCTGAAAAAATACGTTTTGGGTTTCTTTTTACCAGTAATGGTAATTTATTTTTCTCCGTACAGGTTTCCTTTATTTAAAGAAAAAAAAAAACCTCAGCCCCCCTCTGAGGAGTTTTGTAGTGGGGTGGCGGAGCCTGAGGGAGAACTCAGAAATTAGTTCCCCGTCAAATCCACTTTACTTTTGATTGACAGCACACCGCAGTCCAATAGTAGCTTTCAAATCTATCCACTTCTATCCACTGTAAATCAAAAGCTAGGCAGACCTGATCGGGAACTAGTCTTGGTTCCCTATCAGGCTGCACCCACCTAACAGGTGGATTAGTTCCCCATCAGGTCTGCCTGTCTGGTGAGCTTGTCATTTCTCATGAGCATTGCCATATTTAGGTGATGACATCACCAGTATCCTGGCCCCTTTGTTTACATTTAGCTTTCGGATGGGGAATCTCCCATCCGATACATTTATGACCACTTCCCAGCACAGACCTGCCCCACTCTGAGCGTTGGCTAGATACAAAGAATATCTCATAAACGTGCACGTCATTGGCACATGTGCTCTGAAGGAACTGCATACCTGTGCTGTTCCTTCAAAGCTCTATGCCGTGGCAGTCACTCCTGCGTACATCCATGGGAGTGATGTCATTATGGCTTGGACATTCAAGCGGCCGTACCTCACAAACCCTTAGGGAAGACCAATGGAAGTCTCTGCAGGGGTGACAGGGCGACGCTGGAGGGCTTAATTTTGATATGTGATGCATACTAGCACAATATGTTAAACTTGCAGGGAGATTAAATTCTGGTGGTAATTCTCTAAGAATCTATCACTGTTATAGCAATAGGTTCCTAAATGGTCTAAGTAAGATGTACCTGAACTTGTTTCACATGTCGGTAATGTTACCCAAACTGGCACAGTTTTAAAGGGAACTACTGCAAGAAAAAGAATGTTAATGCTCTACTGGATTCCCTAGGTGGTGTGTTGTGAAATGCTGGCATTCAAAACACACTGGCACCACAATTGGCTTTGTTCGTTGAGTAAACGTAAGGTTAAATGCACAAAAGTTTTAATGGGCCCGAAATATTTGCTTAGTGGTGAATGCATACAAGAGTCAACATTTATAGGAAGGCGAGGCTTACGCTGGGATTGTTGTACGACTAGTCTATAGGAAGGCGAGGCTTACGCTGGGATTGTTGTACAACTAGTTTATAGGAAGGCGAGGCTTACGCTGGGAACAACTAGTCTATAGGAAGGAGGCTTACGCTGGGATTGTTGTACAACTAGTTTATAGGAAGGCGAGGCTTACGCTGGGATTGTTGTACAACTAGTTCTATAGGAAGGCGAGGCTTACGCTGGGATTGTTGTACAACTAGTTTATAGGAAGGCGAGGCTTACGCTGGGATTGTTGTACAATTAGTTTATAGGAGGGCGAGGCTTACGCTGGGATTGTTGTACAATTAGTTTATAGGAAGGCGAGGCTTACGCTGGGATTGTTGTACAACTAGTTTATAGGAAAGCGAGGCTTACGCTGGGATTGTTGTACAACTGGTTTATAGGAAGGCGAGGCTTACGCTGGGATTGTTGTACAACTAGTTTATAGGAAGGCGAGGCTTACGCTGGGATTGTTGTACACGACTAGTTTATAGGAAGGCGAGGCTTACCTGGGATTGTTGTACAACTAGTCTATAGGAAGGCGAGGCTTACGCTGGGATTGTTGTACAACTAGTTTATAGGAAGGCGAGGCTTACGCTGGGATTGTTGCACAACTAGTTTATAGGAAGGCGAGGCTTACGCTGGGATTGTTGTACAACTAGTCTATAGGAAGGCGAGGCTTACGCTGGGATTGTTGTACAACTAGTTTATAGGAAGGCGAGGCTTACGCTGGGATTGTTGTACAACTAGTTTATAGGAAGGCGAGGCTTACGCTGGGATTGTTGTACAACTAGTTTATAGGAAGGCGAGGCTTACGCTGGGATTGTTGTACAACTAGTCTATAGGAAGGCGAGGCTTACGCTGGGATTGTTGTACAACTAATTTTATAGGAAGGCGAGGCTTACGCTGGGATTGTTGTACAACTAGTTTATAGGAGGGGCGAGGCTTACGCTGGGATTGTTGTACAACTAGTTTATAGGAAGGCGAGGCTTACACTGGGATTGTTGTACAACTAGTTTATAGGAAGGCGAGGCTTACGCTGGGATTGTTGTACAACTAGTCTATAGGAAGGCGAGGCTTACGCTGGGATTGTTGTATACAACTAGTTTATAGGAAGGCGAGGCTTACACTGGGTTTGTTGTACAACTAGTTTCTAGGAAGGCGAGGCTTACGCTGGGTTTGTTGTACAACTAGTTTATAGGAAGGCGAGGCTTACGCTGGGTTTGTTGTACAATAGTTTCTAGGAAGGCGAGGCTTACGCTGGGATTGTTGTACAACTAGTTTATAGGAAGGTGAGGCTTACGCTGGGATTGTTGTACAACTAGTTTCTAGGAAGGCGAGGCTTACACTGGGATTGTTGTACAACTAGTTTATAGGAAGGTGAGGCTTACACTGGGATTGTTGTACAATTAGTTTAGATGGACTTTTGCTGTATATTTGTGAGTTACTGATTTCTGTTCTGTTATCAGCCATTTTAGGCCAAATGTAACTTAATTTACAATTTTCTTCTTTTTGATTGCTAGAAAAGAAATCAGCTGGTGCTTACATAAACAGCAATACAATTTATTCCAAATATCCAAGCTTCCTAAACCTTTAAATATTTACTTGTATTTTAGAATTTTTACAAAAACAGCTTGCAAATTATATAAGGTCTTATGAACACATGCTTCATGCATTTACTCGTTTTGGAAATACATTGTAAACTGTACATATGCAAACAAGCCTCAGCATTTACAAGCATATGTCCATGTACAGGCATTGCCATTTGTGTGGCAGGCTATAAGCAGCACCTGCAGCTCCCTGGGTGCCGGAAGCTGCTCAGATTTTTACGCCTAGCATTGTTTATGCCTCTCACCACCTGTGTGCTAGAGGCCCAATTCACATATTTAATATTTCACAATTTTGTGATTTATTTAATCATTCATAGAACTACCTTGTTTGTATTTAGTGATAACTGTAACATCTACATACTGTGGATTTAATACTTTTAGCTGACATTGTAGAAAAAGCCTGTACATTTTATTCCATGTGGATTTTTTCATACATTTTATTGATTTTATGCTGCTTTCCTATTGCAGGAAGACACCAATCTTCCTGAAGGTGCTACTGTGCCTGCTCTGGGTTTGTCGAATAAAGCAGTCTTTCAAGGTAGGATTGATGTTTTGCTCTTGGGGGGTGAGTGCATGTACTTTAGAAGCCAATCTTTTCATGACAATAAAAGTGTGCATTGTAGATTTTATTCTTCTTTTCCCAGATGGAGTTAATTTGAAGGACAGGAAGCAGTGGTGATAATTGGGAACAGTCACAATGATTGCGTTTAGCCCCCTCGTGCATTGTTATAGCCATTCTTTTTTCTGTGCATATGTCATTAACATTATGAGCTTTGCTCGTGCATAACAATTTTGCATTCTGAATAATAATATTAACAGAGCTATATAAATCAATTAAGGCACATTACTAATGCTTTCCTCATCTGTTGGCATTGTTATTTATATCATTAAATCAGATTTTATAAAAGCAAATGCATTGGATAACCAAAACAAATGGCTTTCATTATGGAATTTTATTTGCTTTTTAACTGCAACATTTCACATTTTCAGGTTTATTCACATAATTTAGTTTCTGTGAGACTTTGTAGGTAAGAATGATGAGTATACATCAGTAGTCATCTTTAGGACATTTAGGAACATAAAATATTGCTTATGTTGGACCACTCCAAACAAGACAAAGCATTAGAATGCATGCAGGTGACTGGACCTGGTAAAGTCTTCCACCTTTTGGTCTGTATTTGTGAGACTTTACAGGGGAGTTTCCAAGTGCTGCAGCAAAGACTTTTTTATTGAGAGTCTATAGCTCTACTTTTATCATGAACTTATTTAAAAATAATTGTATATTTCCTAACTGTATATTACAGTTTACCCAGTGTTCAGAAATCCAGTAAATAAAAGGTTAGAAGCCCTCCTTAAGGCTCTTTGCCCTGGCAGAGCCCGCCAAGCAGCCCTCAACTGTATCTATGGAACTCTGTCAGACCATTATTGTATGAACTAAGCATATGGCCTGGAGCCTTAGCTCCATACTTACTGTTCCCTCTGTCCATAGTCAGCTGAAACTTTGTCCCTCAGCATTACTAATGCCTGAATGGCTTGGCGAATACACTTTGTCATATTTCTGGGATGAGCCTTTTCTCTGCCATAAGTGAGCTTATGGCTCAATATCAGTTTCTGGAATGCTTGCTCTTGGTGTATACTTTGGGAACCATACCTGTGCTCAGTGGCAGAAGCCCAGCCTGTAGTGTTTGCTACAGGCATTAAGCTCTTACCTTGGCATGTGGTGTAAAATCTGCAGTTAGCTGCAAGTGCTATACAGGTCCAGGGCTGTGGTCCATTGCTATGGCACCCAACCCTTGAAGCCCCCTGGGGTGATATGTCCACCATGATAGCCAAAGACTGGACTCTAAATGGGACCAGCAACATGGTAAAGACAGGGTTTCCCTGAAATGTCACAACCTGTCTGTTGGGATCTTTGTTTGAATCTGTGGTGCATATTGCATCATATCATTTTATTCTACATGACATACTACAATGCTAGTCATACAAGCACAGGTTATGGGAAAATCTACACACTTTGTTTTTTTTTTTTCCATATGTATCTTTGCCTTGCTTTATTCGGTCTTGTAGGTAACGTTATACTAAGATTTACACAATTAAATTTTGATCTTTACACATTTTCCACTTCACTATCTGAATCTCCTCTTTGGCTAGTGATGTAGTGCTTATAAGACTCCTAACTGTGCACTTCTGGACACAATTTTCCAACACAAACTGATCATTTGCTGTCTCACCTGTTTCTTAATACTTCATAGACACAGCCATAGGAGCTTGGTTAGCTCCTGGGTTATTTCAGTTCTTTCATAATAGACACTCTGAACCCCCTTCAGTTCATATCCATTTTGTGAGTACCCCGTAGGGTAAGAGCCTCACTTAGCAATGACAAATTTCTGTCTCATGGGAGCGGGTGCACATGGAAAAACTATTTGCCTGTTGACATTGTTTGCTGTGTTGCCCACCCCTCAGTTGGAATGCTTATGGATATCCCAGTCATAATGATTTAATGAAGTTTATGTCCTGTATTGTATAGTATCAGGAAGCATAGTATTTGTGACTTGCCAGTAAAAAATGTTTTCTGGAGTACAGTACACAGGACCCTCCCCTCTGTTCTTAGGATCTCCCTATTGCTTGCTACAAAACAGGCTAGCTGGGAGAGGGAGGGGTTACATAGGGAGATATTCCTGCAGCCTTTCTTTATTGCCAGTGCCCAGTCACCTAAAGCTGGCTGCATATAACCAGTTGTAATGATTTAAAGAGCCAACAGGAAACAGGGGTTTCGCTACAGGCCTTGCGGAAACTCTGAGCTGTTCCGGACTTCGCTCCAGCCCTCTGATTCAGTCACCCACACAGATGTGCAACATGCAGCTTGTCTTACTAATGTCTAATCTATTACAAAGGCTTCTTGTTTTTGGAATTCTTTGAAATCGCAGGTGAACATTCATTCTGCTGAAGGCTTGTGCAGCACTCAACCTCAGACTGATGATGTGTCCTTTGCATCGGAGAATGACCTAGTTTTAACACCAGTGTTTGCATCCTGTCCTCTAGACGCACAACATGTGGCCTACATGACAAAAGCAAAATTTTCCAAATCTGTGTCACAATTCTTAGGCTGCCCCCTGGTCTTCTGTTGATACTTTCTTAAAGTTTTATCAGGAGATGTCAAATCTTATGCAGATGCAGGTTATGGCCATAATATTTTCACAGCAGCTTTCTGAGCTTGGGTCTTTTGACTCCTGTTGCTTTTGAACTTGTTGGCACAGTTTCATTTGCCTGGTTGTTGCCCACCCTTCAATTTATTGCTTGGGAAGGCCCATGGTGTAGGAATATGTTGCCCGTATCCTGTACTGTGCGAGAAAGAAAAAAGGAATTTTGACTTGCCTGTAAAATTCTGTATCTTGAAGTACAATACAGGTCACAGATCACCCTCCCCTTCCTTCCTTTCCTTGGTTTACCATGCATTGCTTGCTACAAAACTGAGGATTCATGGATTGGAGTAGATATATAGGGGAGGCGCTTTGGAAGAGGGAGTTCATGTCCTCAAACGTTTGTGTCCAAACACCTAAAGGCACAGTACATGCCTATAACCCAAGGTATATGAATGAAAAGGTCTGTGTCCTGTACTGCACTCCAAGATATGGAATTTACAGGTAAGTCCAAATTAATTATTTTTTCAACTGAACTCAATAACTAAAGCTGAAATTTACACACACATGAATGAGTCAGAGCAGTCAGTGCTTCATACCTTAACTATAGCTCTGTCCAAGGTGGCCATTAGAGATGGCCTTTCTGAAAGTCGATAAAGTTTATAGAACTTAGGTACTCTGGGCATCTTTTCTTATTATAAGTTGTAGATCTGTAAATACATGTCATTTAAATGTCAGACAATGTAATTTCAACTGACAAACAATTATTTCTTTCATTGATAATTGTAATACGTTGCTTTTACTTTTTAATAGGGGAATTAAGTGGACCTACAGTTCAAGAAGACACATTTAGTAGCGTTTCTGATCAGTATTCTCAGCCTTATTTTCAGCCCTTTGTCCTGAAAGGTAAGTTAACAAGCTTTTCCTTTTTTTTTAATAGATAATCAAGTATGTTATTTGTAAATATAAATGTTACCAAATATTATATTTCACTCCGGACTTGCTCACTTTAATTTTTTTTAATTATCTAAATTTGTATTAAATTTCTACTGTTATTTTTGGTAAAGTGTTAGATTATTATTCCTCCTGAGAATCAGTCAAATGTGTATGGAATTAAGTATTTTAATATTTAGACTTGGTGTTATTAAACCCACAACAGTAAAATCAGTCTGTATATGCAGTAAAGCATGCTTGTTATATTCACTGTGGAACCTAAGAGGTTGATCCTCTGCATTCTTCCTCCAGTGCACCCCTTTTATCTCCTGATAACATATATTGTGTGGAATGCTGCACATGCTCAGTTTCGTGTGTATTGCTATGGAGTTTTTTTTTCTTTGGAGAGTGATTGCCAATCAGCACTGCGTAGACAGAGGTCAGGGGTTCTGCATCCTCATAGAGAGAACTCCTACAAGCTTTAACCAGTTCTCAGCTGGACACCGATAGAAGTCACAAGACTGCTCTAACTACTGATGAAAAAAGTATTTAGCAGTTTATATTTACTAAAATAATTGCATTTCCATGTTCTGTGTATTGTGGGAGACCAGATAGAGTTAATGCAGGGTCCTGGGTTTAGTAACACTTTAAATTACTATTAGTTTGCAGGTTTATCTATGAAAAATGGATAAATGCCAACCTTACTTAGGTTTAATAACTTTTTCTGAGTCTGACTGTTGAGCTGGGAATGTGAGGGGTTGCCTGAGGTTTGAGTGGGCCTCTCAGTGACAAAATGGACAAGCATAGGGCCAAAAGCACAGCACACAGTTAAACTAAAGAGAACAGCTTCCCTTTAGCTGCAACACTGTGAATGTAGTTCTACATTCACAGTCCTAGAACTACAAGTACCAGTGTTCTGGTATTGGTACAAAGTGTAATAGCTGAGCACAAAGCAGACACCTAGGTGCCAGCTGATTCCAGGAAAGGCATAAACGTCAGATGGTTCCTTCAGTGCAGCTGCTCCTTTAATCATGTAGACAGTGCTGTAGCTCTTGTCTGTCACATATGTGTAAAGGTCTGCTCCCAGAAAGACCTGTGGGATGTTCTTGTTAAACCATATGAGGAGATTAGAATTCCAAGACCTGGGCCAAATTGCTGTTACCAGGGTGTACTGCTACATGCAGAGTGCAGGATATGTTGAGTTTTGTACACTCTGTTTGGAAACACATCATTGTTCCTATACCTTCTGTGTGGGAACATGTGCAATGGGTATTGAAAATAATCACCCCTTTAAATGAATCACATTTTTGTTTTGCAGATTGAAATGAAGAGAGACACGGTTTTTGTTTTATTCAGCTGTATTTACTCGGTGCAACTTATAATGCCCAAGTGAAAGATAAAACACAAACATATCAGAAAAAACAAATAAAATTCAAAAACAGAATCACAGAGTTGGAAATAAGATCCTAAAAATGACTTTTAAACTCAATCAAGTGTAGCTAATCACCTTTTCAATGGCACACAACACCATTTGACTTTCCACTGTGATCAGCTGTGGTCATTTTGTTCAGCTCAGCATGAAATTAGCTTTCCTGGAGTATTGCAGTCCCTGGAAGTGCAAATGAAGCAAACAATCAACTATGGGCAGAAAGGCACTGTCAAAAATCTCAGGGATAAAGTTGTGGATAGGCACAAGTTAGGAGATGGATACAAAAAAAGTTCAAAGGCTTTATCAATTCCTAGAAGCACAGTGAAGTCTATTATTAAGAAGTGGAAAGTATTTGGTACAACACAGACCCTCCCTGGATCAGGACGTCTCTCCAAATTGGGTGCCAGAAAGAGCCAGGAAGAAACTGGTCAGAGAGACTACCGCCACTCTGAAGCAGTTGCAGGAATTTAAGACAAAGAGTGATCATTGTATGAATGTGACAACATTATCACAAATTCTCCACAAATGTGGCTTGTAGTGGAGGGTTGCAAAAAAAAAAAAGCCACTCCTCGAAAAAGGCCACATGCAGACACCACTGAGCTTTGCCAAAATGCACCTTGAAGATTCTGAGGCCACATGGAAAAAAGTGTTCTGGTCAGATGAGACTAAAATTGAATTATTTGGCCTCAACACTAACACTGATGGAAATCCAATACAGCTGACCATCCAAATAACACCATTCCTACAGTAAAGCTTGGAGGTGGTAATATCCTGTTATGGGGATGTTTCTCTGCAGCAGGGACTGGAGCACTTGTCAGGATAGAAGGACAAATGGATGGGGCAAATTACTGTAAAATTCTTGAGGAAAATGTGTTGCCCTCTGCCAGAAAGTTGTCAATGGGAAGGTGGTTTAACTTCAATTATGACAATGACCCAAAGCACACAGCAAAAATTAGCACACATTGGTTGAAGGAGAAAAAGGTGAATGTCCTTGCATGGCCTAGTCAGAGCCCAGCCTTAAAACCCATTGAAAATCTGTGGAATGACTTGAAGACTGCAGTCTACAAATGGTCTAGATGTGTGCAAGGTTAGTAGATATATATCCCAACAGACTAAAGGCTGTAATTAAAGTAAAAGGTGGTTCAACAAAATACTGATCCTGACCCTTTTTCTAACTCAGTAATTTTGTTTTTGAGGGTTTTTTTAAAAAAAAAATTTCTGACATGTTGGTGTTATATTTTTCACTTGGATGTTATATGTTGCACTGGGTAAATACAGTGCAAACAGTGTCTGTCTTCATCCCAGGCTGCAAAGCCACAAGATATGATTATTTTAAAGGGGTGTGTGATTATTTTCTATATCCACTGTATTCGTTGATCAGACTTGCAGATTAGCTGACTGGTTTAATGACAAATTTTGCATGTAAAACATACAGATGGTTCATTACCTTTAATATCTAATAACACATATCCACCAATCTGGATTATAGTTTAAATAAATTCAACAAAATGGTTTAAAAAAAAAAAAAGGTCTATTCATAATTTAAGAAAAATGGGTGGGAACATATAAATCATTCATTTGTGCTCCTGGTGCATCCACAGTGTGGATACAGCCTAAATTTATTGAACGATTTATAACCAAAATACCCATAGATGCATATAGCTTTTTTACACTCGTACCCATCATCAAGGCAGTGCATTGTAATCCTGGTTTCAAAGAAGTAGGGGTGGGAGAACAAGAAGAACACATGCAGTAGGAGATTTGTGCAATGAAGCAGAAATGGTAGAACTATATTTTACATTGTGGTCAGTGTTGATTTCAGCAGATTTCTCCGTGCAGCAGGCTAATGATCTAAATCGTATGTCTAAGCTATACAAAACTAATTTGGTGAGGAACTCCTTGCCTGAGTAAAGTCTTCTGTCTTTATTACTGTGAATAATTAGAAATGCACGATGTAAAGCTGGATTGCTTGCTTTGTAAATCTTTTTATTTATAGAACCTCCAACTGAAGATCATTTGTTGCAGAACACACTGTGGCCTGAAGTTCAAAAATTGTAAGTTCTCTTACTTGAGCTCTACACACTTGCAACTTTTTTCCAGCATATTTGTATTTACTATTCTTTTGCCTCCTAAATGTATTTGATTTGCGCCAGCAAATTTACTTATTAATCTTATTTGTGGTAATTTATAAGCAAAGGGCACTGATTTATTTGCTATGCCCTGTACTTGGCATGTAATAAAGAGTCTTTAATTTAACCGTTTTTATTTGGTATACATTAATCTCATAAATTACACCTTTTAAATTTTGTTTTTCCCTATTTCTTTTATCTTATGGAAGTTTCTTTAAATTAAATTAGTAAACCAAACTAATTGAGTGTATGTCAGCATGGATGTTTCATTTATGGCTAATTTGATCCTACAGCTTTACAATATAGACCTTTACTCAATAATACACAGTAGCTTATGGAAGGGAGTTAGCTGTAACATATTTACTGCACTAAATGCTGATATGTGATTGATTGCAAATATGTATATATTGCTGCTTTTTGCTTTGTATTCCGAAACAATGTCTGTAGAGCTGTAGAGCTTGTTAAAGCCTAATTCCAGGTTAAAATTAACCCTAATCCCACCCTTTCTCTGATTTTCTGGGTTAAAAAAAAAAGCTTTCTAAGTTGTAGTTTTCACTTACCTTAAGCCAGGGATGCTCAACCTTTTGATGAGTGAGGGCCACTTCAGTGATTTGATAACCGGTCACGGGCCACAATGAAATGAAATGGTTGTGAATTTTGAATTTTTTTTTTTTTTGAATAGCGTAATGAACCTTTTCCTCCTGCAGCCACTGAATGCCAGCAGCAGGGAGAGGAGGAGAAGCTGCTTTCAGCGGTTGCCGGAGGAAAATGGAGAGGATTGGTTCCTGTATATGCTGCACCAACTGTCCAAGTATAAAGCAGATCATGACAGGGAGGCAACATGGGCCCCCTGGAGCATGGGCGGGGTCACCATTGCAACCCCGGATGCTACAATAGTGGTTAAGGGTGTGTGGTTAAAAACAAAATCTCAACTATGGGGTTTTACTGCATCTCCCCCAAAACCACAAATGTAAATGATCCCTGAGCCCCCTATAAGGCTGCTTTCAGAGCCCCTATAAGGCTGCATGTGTACACCTTTGGCTGCTGCCTCAGCAGCTAAAGGGGGTAGGGATTGGGGTGGTAAAATGGTGACTCAATGGCAGGGTTTTACCACGCCCACCTAAGGGTGCCATTGTTGAATGCAACTAAGAGCTCATTCACAAGTACAGCAGGCACTCCTCCTGTGAAAAGCGATCTGAGTGTATTTGTGTGTGAGGAAGCGATATGTTGCCTCCTCACCACCTGATTTAAACCCACGGTTTTCGTTCTTTGACTTCTCCAATATTGTTCAGGCAAATCTCCATCTCTTTAAGGTTGCCTACTCCTGGTGTAGACTTTAGCTAGTTGGCACATAACTGCTTGGATGACCATCATTAGGCTATTCAAGCACATACTAATTTGTTCTAATTAGTTCTTTGCATACCTTTTTTTTGTCTTTTCCACCACATTCTTCTGATGGTGGCCATTTTCCATGAGGGTGGATTAGTCCATCTCCCTTTTACTTTCTGAAACTTTTGATATGCCTTTTGGAACATGTGACAATGCACATATTCTGATGGGGAAGAAAAAATGTCTTTCCTGCGAGAACTGCAAGATTTTTCAGTTTGCAGATGAGGTTTTCCAGCAAGACACAGACGATGTAGCTTTCTCAGAATACATCTGAGATGCAAGGAGGGAGAAGAACCTGTCAAAGTGTATCCGAACGTAAGGTCTTCTCCCTCCCCCAGTCTTCTGGGACACATTACAGGTCCCAGAAGACTGCAGGACTATTCACAATGCGCAGCGCGGCTCGTACATGAGCAGTGGGCAACCGGCTATGAAGCCACAAGCTGTCACAGCCAGGTGCCCAAAGTTAAGATGCCGCTGCCAGGGAGTAAATACCTGTGAAGAAAACGACCTGGGTGAGCACAGTGCTGGATCTTGGAACAGCTGAGTGTCTGATTATTAAAAGTCAGCCGCAGCAGTTTTTGTATCGGTTGACATTCAATTTTCATAAATGACTGGAGCACCTCTTTAATGAGTTATTGCTGTGGCATGTACAGTTTTGGGTCAATGATTTACAGTTTCATCAGTAGCAAATACTTTAAAAATTTTAATTGCCTGTTGAACAGAATGATTGTGGTGTTTAATATTTCTTTAAAAAAAAAAAAACATTTCTGTTGGTCGTTAGTGAACATTTCCATTATCAAATTTGAAAATTCAGCCTGCTTTAGCAGTTCAAACTAAAATCTTTTGAAAAACATGGCAAGTATACTTAGGATTCTGATTGTCATGACAGTTTACAAGTAAAAATCTGATTTGTGCTTGGATCTCTTATGTATTGTGAAATGCCTGTTCTTTTTGCAGTACAAGAGTTAGCTGTAACTCTTAGATGACAGGAAGAAGAAGAATAAAATAATTATCCAACATTTGTGAACCTTGGAAATTGCAGTGATTGCATGTAGCCCTAGTGTCCTTCACATGGTGCAGAGTAGTAAGTTTTTGTCGTAGACCTTTAAGTAGTTTTAGCCACTAATTTTACAGGGCATGAGGTGCTGATGGGAATAAATGCCATTAATTTTGTCTTTTTTGAAAAATCTAAAGTGAATGTTTTTAAATCTTCTATTTTTTATTTACCTTCCTTTTTCATTTGCAGGTATGGGCATGGATATGAAATCTTCTCTTTGGCTTGCAATAGTGTAGGAACAATTGTTGCCTCTGCTTGTAAGGTAATAGTGTCAACAAGAAAATTGTATAAATGGTTAACCCCTCTGGTATATCAGCTCGGTATGGTGTAGCTTGAATATTTGTTTTTAAAATATAGTATTTTATCATGTTTTTTGCTGATATGTTTGGTAAAAAACCTTGCTGTATCTTTTGTGTCAGGTTTGTTATTGGTTGACCCAATTTTCCATTTTCTTCCCCCCTGTTTAGGCTTCCAAAAGAGAACATGCAGCAATTATTTTGTGGAGTACCACAAGCTGGAAGCAGATCCAGAGCTTGTCTTTTCATAACCTGACTGTTACTCAGATGGCATTTTCTCCTGATGACAAATTCCTATTAGCAGTTTCCAGAGATAGAAACTGGTCCCTGTGGAGGAAGCAGGAGGAGGGAATTCCGATGCAGTCAGGTGAGTAACAGATGTGTGCTTGTATGCTCTCTTGTTAATTGGATGTCTGACCATAAAAATAAGGTAAATGGTTTAAATTTCAGATGTACACCTAGTGATTATTAAATGTGTCATCTGTCTACAGAGCTATACAAAAGCTGATGTAAAGACCTTTTTGTTCGTTTTGGTGTAACTCAAAATTAGAATTAAAGTCTTTTATCCTTTCAGTGCCAGGTCTGTACGACGTACGGACCTACAGCACTGCTTCCAGCAGGCCAGGTCCATACGCTCTACGGATCTACATTCCTCCTTTGCTATAAGCTCATGGTCACTCCAGTGACCATGAACTTGTAGTAGAAATGTTCAGAAGACTCTGATGATGAACAAAACAATAGCTCTTCACCTAAAATGACACACCCCCTGCCGATACCACAGCCTCTCTACCTGTCACCTGCTGCTTCCTCCCCTCGCTGACCCCCATCCCCCCACTGTCCCCTGTCTTCAGCACTGATCCCCCAGCATCAGCCCCCCCCCCACCAGCTCTGATCTCCATGGATCCAATGCAATTGCTGGCTTCCTTCTGCTGCCGCTCCCACCGGCAATTGCACACAAAATCTTTTTTTTTTTTACTGTGTTCCCCCTCCTGCTGGGACCCCCTCCATAAGCAACCCCCTCGCCGGGACCTCCCAACAGCATCCCCTCCTACTCATCGCTCTCCGGTGCCAGCCCCCCCGGCAGCTCTTCTAGATGGCTTTTTCTCCACCTCTCCTGCCAGCTGCAGCTGCTGCCTGGGACCCTGGAGATCTGTCAGTGGCAGATTGCGATCAGGATGGAAAGCGGGGGGGCTCCTAAACATGTGCTTAGTACTTACCAAACCCTTTTCATTCTTCAATGAACAAAAGGATCAGTAGTGATCACTCTGTTCGTTCATACCTGGCACATGGTAAACTATTTTAGTGTGTCCCTAAACTCACACTGACTGTGTTTGGGGCTATGCACCCACACCCGCACAGACATGAATAGGACTGCCTGCACAGGGATACACAGAACACCTGTGCATCTCTGTGCAAGTAAACATGGCCCTCCATGGGTGCTTCAGTATACCCCATGTTAATGAGGCCTTAGGAATTTAGCAAGAGTTTTGTAAGTTATGCTTTGTTTGTGAGTGCAAATAGGGATTTTTTTTTTTTTTGTGAAAGCAGTGATGTGATAAACATTTCCGCAAATGTTGTGTGGTCTTAAAAATCAGTAGAACCTTCTTTTTATTCTACTGGTCATGTGCTTTCAGAAAATATATGGTTTGGGGGGTCTTTTACAAACTCTCAAATCTGTAAGGGAGAAATGAAAACCTCCAGATTTTTAGAGAAATGTTTACATATGTTCGATTTTCACCATTTCGCAAAAAAGGCACAATTTAAAATTTAAAATATTTGTTATTTATTAACGCAGCACAAGTTAAGATTTTATATTTAGTAGGAATTTAGCAGGTATTTTGTAAAATGTGCTTTTCCAAGCTCTGGAAGCTGTAAGTGAAAAAATTAAAACCTTCAGATTTTTAGAGAAATTTGGATATATACATTTTTGCATACGTTCAATTATCACCATTTCTCAAAAAGGCGCAATTAAAAATTTACAGTTAGTTTTTATTTATTAACTCAGCATGGGTTGTTTTTATATTTAGTGGGAATTTAGATGGGCTTTTGTAACATTTGCTGTGTTTTTATCTGCTAAAAATTAAAAATTTACAGTTAGTTTTTATTTATTAACTCAGCATGGTTTGTTTTTATATTTAGTAGGATCCCATTTATTTTTCAGTGTTGGGACCCTTTCTTTTTACCTGGTTTTTAAATTATATTATGTTTGAGATCAGACGTATCATTTTAGTCTTTGCCAATGACACTAAGCTTTGTAGTGGAATAGAGCCCTTAAATGATGTCTCCAACTTACAAATAGACCTGACTAAACTGTTTGATTGGGCAATTGTGTGGCAACTAAGGTTTAATGGTAATAAATGTAAAGTTAGCACTTGGGGGCTAAATACATGCACACATTGTACATTTGAGGGGAGTATACAACTGGGAGAGTCAATCATGAAGGATCTAGGAGTTCTGCAAATATGCAAAATTGTCTTTATGAACTCTTGCTTCTCTCCTTTTTTTTTGATCAATTAACTGCTCATAATACTTCCGGACCAATAGAAAGGTTGTAGTTTATGGGAAAAGAGATGTGAATATTTTTCATATTGACTTCAAGTATTATAATAGGGGTCACTGATCTCTCTTGTACAATAACCTATGCTCATTGTGTCTACACTGACAGTGTTTCTGTCCTCACTGATGCCCACAAACATGAATACTTACCACATCTATACAGATATCAGCAGGTATAGGTGAAAGTCAGATGGTTTTTAAATATGAATGAAGAGGATGGTACATTAGCTTTATTGCAAGGACGTTTTGGCAAGTCACAACCCGCCTTTCTGAAGATGGACTGTGACTTACCTAAGTGTAATTTAAGAGTGTTGATACTGCCTTCCTGTGTGTGTTTGTGTATATGTATGTACAGTATATAAGAGAAGACGCAAAGTAGTTATACTGCATCAGCATGGTCTCTCCCAGGCAAAGATTTCACAGCAGCCTGGGGTTTCAAAATGTGCTGTTCAAGCTTTTTTTGAAGAAGCACAAAGAAGCGGACAACATTGAGTACCATAGACGCAGTGTTCGGCCAAGGAAACTTAATGCAGCAGATAAAAGACACACAGTGCTTACTTCCCTTCAGGGCTGCTGTTAGAAATCATGGGGCCCCCATACAGCCTGCTAGTCGGAGCCCCCAACCCCATCCCCTGAGATGGGGGTGTGATAGGAGGGGAAGAGAGAGAGGAGGGTGAGAGAGAGATGGGTGGGGGGTGAGAAAGAAGGGGAGGTTAGAGAGAGGGATGAGGGGGAGGTGAGAGTGGGGGGGTAGAGAGAGGGATGGGGTGGAGAGTGAGAGAGAGAAGAGGATTACAGGGAGGTGAGGTGAGACAGAGGGGGGTTGATGGGAGAAAAGGAGGTTAGAGAGGAGGGTGAGAGAGAGAAATGAGGGCGAGATGGAGGGGGGGGTGGGAGGAGGTGAGAGAGATGAGGGTTAGAGAGAGGGGGGTGAAAGAAAGAGAGGACGGTAAGAGGTGAAAGAGAGGGGAGTGAGAGGAGGGGAGAGAGAGAGGGGGTGGGGGATGAAAGTGAGAGAGGGGGGTGGTTGAGGGTCTTTGAAAGGGGGGGGGGCAGTATGTCTGCTACTCACAATAATGGCCCTGGGCTGCTATATTGTAGGCTCAGGCAGCCAGGGTCTAGAGTTGCTGCTGTGTGCTGTATATTCAAATCTGCCACCTTCATAGCCTCTTTCACTGAGTGTGTAAAGATCATCCTCCATCCACACACAGGATCACTTGATCTTCCCACCCAGGGACACAGCAGAATGAATGGGAGATCAAAGTTGCAGAGCTGGGGCAGTGATCCCATCGGCTGTTGAGCGGCTGCTGGCTGGGCTGCAGAGTAGGAGCAGGGCTTGTCATGCATGGCTGCCCCGGAGCGGACATTCCCTGTTCTGTGACTGGACATCCTGCTCTCCACGCTGTCCTCATGTAAGGGCATTTTGTCTGCAGGGAGGATGAGGGGGGACTGATCATGTTACCAATCTAGGAAACCGGACTAATAGGAAATTGAACTGCTGAGGAGAGCACCGCAAGCAGAGACCGCTTTGCAGGCAAGTTTGATGGAGTATGATTGGTGCTCCGCAACAAGTAGAGGTGCAGTGATGGATCCTCTAATGAGACCCTCTACTGGCCCTGGGCCCTCAGGAAGTCCTGAGTGGTCAGTCCGCCTCCCTGTATGGAACATGTCATTGAAACTTGAAGCTGCAGCTGGCTTGGGCCCATCCTGTTAAGTGATGGGCCCTGTGGTACCCCCTTATCAGCAGTCCGCTTCTCTTTGACTATGGAAGATGTCCAGCAGTGCCATCAGCACAGAACTAGTATAAAACAGTCTGGCTAGAAGTGGCCTTCATGAAAGAATTGCAGCCAAAAATCCATACCTCCGACGTGGAAACAAGGCTAAGCGACTGAACTATGGAAAAAAACATTGGAAAAGGGGTGCAAAAAAAAAATAGCAGCAGATGCTCTGGATTGATGAGTCAAAATCTTAAATATTTGGGTATAGCAGTTGCTGTAGGGCTGGAGAGTGGAACAATGAGTATCTTCAGACAGCAGTGAAGCACGATGGAGGTCCTTTGCAAGTGTGGGTCTGCATTTCTGCAAAAGGGGGGGGGGGGGCGTGCGGCGATTGGTGGTGCGCTATGTCCCTGGGACACAGTGGATTGCCGATCGCAGTAAAGAGCTGATGATGTAGGCTCTATCTTATGATTAGCTGTGTCTAATTACAGCTGATCGCATGTAAATTGAAAATGCCGGTTATTGGCAGTCCTCTCCTCACGCTGACAGCGCATGAGGATAGGAAAGCCAGTAAGCAGCATTCCTCGGAAGGGACATGTACACTGATCATCAGGGCCCTGATTATCAGTATAGCCCTATCAGTGCTACCAATGCCACATACCAGTACCCATTAGTGTACATCAATGCCACAAATCAGTGCCCATCAGCGCTGCCTTTCAGTGCCGCCTATCAGTGCCATATATGAGTGCTGCCTTTCAGTGCTCATCAGTGATGCCTGTCAATGCCCAACAGTGCCTCCTCATCAGTGCCCATCACTGCAGCCTCATTAGCGCACATCAGCGAAGGAGAAATATTACTTATTTACAACATTTTATAACAGAAACTAAGAATAAATTTTTTTTTTTTTTTTTTAATTTACAGTCTTTTTTAGTTTAGCAAAAAATAAAAAGCTCAGTGGTGATTAAATACCACCAAAAGAAAGCTCTGTCTGTCTCAAAAAATGACCAAAATTTGGTTTGGGTACAGTGTTGCATGACGACGCAATTGTCATTCAAAGTGCGACAGCACTGAAAGTTTAAAATCAGCCTGGGCA